CAACGGCGAAACAAGCAAGGAGCCCGAGCAAGCGCAACCGGAGACAGTAATCACCGAGGCAACCTCACAAAGCGCAGACGAAACTACGAACGCAGATCAACCAGTATCGGCACCGACACCGCCGGTAGATAGACAGACTGAACCAGCAATGACAGCATCTGAAGACGTGGAAATGGCAAACGCGCCCAACGGTGAAACTGGCAAGGAGGCGGCGAAACATCAAACAGCGGCCTCAGGGGCCGAGCCAGAGAAGAACGCGGATCCACCAAGGCACGAACTCGAGCAACAACAACAACAAGCAGACCAAGAACCTCAAGAGGAGCAACTCGTCCATGGCGCAGAGGACTTGCGAGCCAAGCCTAATGGTCAACGTGACGCTGCCCTCAGCACCGTGGCATCAGTAGCGGCACTACAGGAATTCCTCGACGAACCTTACATCCACCCTATCTTCCTCGCCCCACGAACCTCTCACCCAGACCGCGATTTTGGCCTCCCCGAGCAAGAAGCCGAAGACGTGCGCCGGCTGCTCCAGCTGTACGTGCAGAAGCAGGAAGAAGTCTGCCGCGGCACCCGCAAGCTATACGAGGGTCTGCGCAAAGCGGACCGGTACCGACAAACGGTGCTCTCGTGGGCCAAGGCCGAAGCGCACAGCGGAGCCAACCGCGACATGTCGGACGGCGAGGACTGGTACGACAAGGAAGAGTGGGGACTGACAGAAGACCTGAAGAAGGGAGAGGATGAGGTGGAGGAGGAGACGGCGGTGACGCAGAAGAAGACGCGGAACCGGAAGTAAGCAAAAACCAAAACTGCGAAGCTCCCCTCGTTGGCTTTGTTGGCTTTTGTGGCTTTTGTGTCCCCTTTGTCGTATTCCCCTGCTCCTGCGTATAATTATTATTGTTTCCATGACTTGTTGACCGTATATACGGCAGGCGGGCCTAAACCGACGATGCATGTCTGGTGTAACTTGGCTGGTTGGCTGGGTGTGTTGCTTAAGAGAAAACGGAGTTATGGTTTGATGGGTCTGGGAGTTTGGCGCAACTGGCGAGAGGAAGGTGATTAAGGACGGGTGCTCCTTGGAGAGCTGTGGAACAAGCAACGCAGGAGAGATATAGTCGGCGAATCTGTCCTGCGTATGATAAGGGCAGCCGAACGCTTTGTTAGTCAGCATGGTCGCTTTAGATGATAGGCAGATAGCATCAATGAATATATTGGCGATGATTCCCATTCAATATTCACAAGTCGCACCAGTGGCGATGTCAAATTTTTTACATCCCGATGGCACTTTGCTGCCTTGCGGTTTGACAGATTGACAGCCAGATGGCGTGCGTGGGCGGCGTGGCCCGGGCATGGCATGGCGTGGCGTGGAATTGATTTAAGCTTATAACAACACCAAAAGTCCATCATCAGATGGAAAGCGGCTCCCGTCAATTTTATCAGATTGTCATTAAAATAATCATCAACCCTGTGGACATGATCAATCATCAGTAACACACTTGACCCGCCACTCGTGCCATCAATATCAGAATTACACCCGATGGTCCATATGTTGTCAGAAAAAGTCGAAAGTCGGAAGTCGGGATGAACAGGATGCCGAACGACAAGGGAAGAGTGGTAAGGGTGATCCCGTGGGTGGAGGTGGGGCTTCGCTTAGGATAGGAACGAACTGAAAGATGTAAAAGATGAGACGGTTGCGGCTCCGATGGCGACTGACAAGCGATGAAAGCGTCCATCGCGAATGGATGTGCAGCATAGGTCAGAGGGAAGCTATTGACCGAAACAAGAAAAGTTATCACGGGATCAGTCAAACGTCTTGGACAACTGAACCACATGTCCACACCATATGATCCACCTGTCCAGCTTGTCTCAGGCTCCATCCAGAATGCATGGCCACAGGGCCACAGGGGACGCTAACCCCTAAACCGGCCTAGGCTAAACGCGGCCCCAGATTGCTTGATTGCGGAAAGGTGCCTTCCGGTGGGGAGGGCACGCCGGGATCCATCCATTGGATCCTCACTCGCATGGACGACATGGTTTTGGGAGCGGGAGGGAAACATGGTGCATGGATGATGGAGTGAGGGATCCGAATCCGAACGGGGATGCAAGGAGAAGGAAGAAAAGGGAACACTGACAACGGATCACTCACATAACCTCACATTTTCGTCACCATCCATCTATCATCTTTCCTTCGACTTCATCCTTATAACTCAACAACTACCGACCTAGGAAAGTTGTCGCAGAGTCGAGATCGACACGGGAGAGCCGCATAAGCACCTCACACAGCACAGCCATTGCATCGCATCGGTATCGAGTCCCAAACGGTCAGGCAGATTTCGCAGTTCCCTTGCATAACATTCAGCTATGCGGGAGTGAGCACGACAGGCGACTTCTAGCTCACCCTCCTCCCTCCTATTCGAGGGTGGGTTAACCAAACCACCAAAACCATGGCTGCCGACCTCGAAAAGTCCGGCGTGCACCCCGACCCGGTAACCATCGCCGAAGCCGCAGGCGCAGCAACCAACACAACCACCGAATCCGTCGCCGGTCCCGCCGCCCCAGCCCCGGACCTCACCACCAACCCTTCCTCGTTAGATCCCACCAAATCCAGCGCCTCGTCAGCCAACACAACCCCCGAACCAATCTACCCCAAAGGTCTCAAACTAATCCTCATCATCGCCTCCCTCTGCCTGGCCGTGTTCCTGGTAGCTCTCGACCAAACCATCATCGCGCCCGCCCTCGGCGCCATCACCCAGGAATACGGATCGGTGAAAGACATAGGCTGGTACGGCGCCGCCTATCTCTTGTCAACAACATGCTTGCAGCCTACCTACGGCACCCTGTACCGCATGTTCAGCGTCAAGTTCGTGTACCTCTGCGCCATCTTGCTGTTTGAGATTGGCAGTCTGGTATGCGCCGTGGCGCCGACGAGTAATGCGTTTATTGTGGGCAGAGCGGTAGCCGGCATGGGCACGGCCGGCATGTTCAGTGGTGGAGTGGTAATCCTGAGTTATACGCTGCCGCTGAGGAGCCGCCCGATGGCGTTCGGCTTGATCGGTGCCATGTGGGGGATTGCGTCGGTAGCGGGCCCGCTGTTGGGGGGCGCCTTCACCGATAGCAAGGCTACCTGGCGGTGGTGCTTTTATGTGAACTTGCCGATTGGCGGCGTGGCCATCGTTGCCATCTTTATTTTCCTGCATATCAACAGGGAGGACAATCCCATGGGACTGACGGCTCTGGAGAGGGTGAAGAAGCTGGATTTGATCGGTACCGCGGTGCTGATCCCGGCCATTATCATGTTGTTGCTGGCGCTGCAGTGGGGAGGGGCCGAGTATGCGTGGAACAATTCGAGGATCATTGGGCTCTTTGTGGGCGCCGGAGTGATGGGATTGATGTTTGTGGGGATTCAGAAGTGGAAGGGTGATAGGGGCACGATTCCGCCCAGGCTGTATAGGAACCGGAATGTGGTCTGTGCCATGTTCTTTTCCTTCTTCTTTGGCGCGGGGTTCTTTAGTTTGGTGTATTATTTGTGTAAGTTGCACCTGCTCTGGGACTTACTTCCCGGGACGTGAAATGGGGACAACAGAAAGCTAACTGGGACACAACAGCCCTCTACTTCCAAGCCATCAAAGGCGACAGCGCCGTCAAAGCCGGCATCAAGCTCCTGCCCATGCTCATCTCAGTCGTCATCACCTCGGTCAGCACCGGCGGTCTCATCACCGTCGTGGGATATTATAACCCCTTCATCCTGCCTTGCATGGTCTTGTTCAGCGTCGGTGCGGGTATGATCACCACCCTCGGCATCAACAGTCCTCTCCGCGAATGGTTCGGCTACCAGGTCATTACCGGCCTCGGCATCGGTGTCGGTTTCCAGGCCGGCGTGCTCGTCGTCCAAAACACCGTTTCCCTCGAATGGATCCCCGTCGCCACCGCCTGCGTGCAATTCCACCAGTCCATCGGCGGCGCCATCTTCATTGCCGTTGCCCAGTCCGTCTTCCAGAACGGGTTGACGGCAGGTGTTAAGCGCAACGCCCCCGGTATCCCTCCCGAGATCTTCATCAACAGCGGCGCTTCGCAAGTGAGACCGATCCTCACGCAGATGGGCCGCGAGGATCTGATTGAGCCCGTGCTGCAGGCGTATTTGGACGGGTTGAGACACAGCTACTACATCACCGTGGCGTGCGCGTGTTGTGCGTTTGTCGTGGCTTGTGGGTTGGACTGGAAGAAGATCCAGAAAAAGAGGGGTGGGAAGAAGGAGGAGGCCGCCGAGGAGAAGAAGGTGCTGGCTGATGAGGAAGCTGGTGGAATGGAAAAGCCGGCGACGGCCGTGAGTGCAAATGCGAGTGAGGAGGTGAAGCCTGTTGCTGAGGTGTTGGAGAAGGAGAAAGTTTGAAGATTCGACGAGTGATACCCACATGTTTTTGTTGTATGAAGAGCGTATTATGTACATAAATATGTAATGTCTTTTAGGGCCATGCTATACGCCGGCTTGGTCAACATTCTGTACCGCTTGTCGTTGTGCATGAGCGTTAAATCGTAATATTTGGACAGCTTGACATGTCTCTTGTGTGAGACATCACAGGTCTGACACTTGTTACCTTTTAAGTGTTGATTGACCGAGCGAAGACACTCTACGTTAGAGTCTCCTCAGATCACCATTCTTGATATCCAATCTTTGAGCAATCACCTCACCTGGTGATCATTAAGATACCTGAGAGCCAGTCGCACATCTCACGGGCTGGGTGCACAATGGAAACCACCAAAAGGTAGACCATATCCTGCTTGCCAGCACAACTCGGAAGGGCACGCTATATACCGTAGGCAATGTCATCCCGTGACAACGCAGGAAAAGCTTTACATCTATCATGCCCAACAACCTTGGGGAAAGAAAGGTACATATACCACTGAGCAACGATTAGGGACTGGAGAATTCGACACGAGATGGAGTCAAAAAAATAATAAATAAAAATAAAATAAAAAAGGCCAGAAAAAGAGGGAAGAGTCACTGCGCAATCCGGGAGTCGAACCCGGGTCACTCATTATTCTTTGCCCATGGATAACTTCCACTTCAGTTCTTGGGAAACGAGAGTACTGACCGCTATACCAACCGCGCCTTTCTCTTTTTTATTTCCTTGTTGAAGATCCTTCGAACGGAGCTTATCATAAAGGACAAGCGAAGGCAGCTCAGGGAAGGTGCGGCATGGCAGGCGGTTGTTTGCTGTCTGATGTGTGAACTGTGGATTCCCGTTGAGGAAGGAGGGATGGGGTGGTAAACACTGGAGTGTCGAGAGGAAAGGAGCGTCTGGCGGGAGGGGGGACTGATTGTGGAACGAGTGGAAAATACGACAGGAAAGGAACTAATAGGTGCCAGTAGGCAGGTGGTCCCTGCCTGGCTCGAGCAGAGGAGGAGAGGAAAGAGCAGTCTCAAGTCTCAAGTCAAAGATGTCAAGTGTCAATCATCGTGCGAGGGTTCACGCAAATCCTCAACTCTCACCTGCAAGTTCTCAGTGGTGGAAAACAGAAGTAGTGGGTGGCCGCTGACTTTCGCCGAGCAGCCCAGGTCATTCATCACGCAGGAAGTACCGTTTTTGGTTCGACCTGATGTCAGATGTTTGGTATCAACGCATCGCGAGATCCAGCAAACCATTCGACCTTGGACAACACCGTCCGTACTATCGTACAAATCTCTCTGGTCTAGGCAAAAAAAGACCGGAGAACCAGATGAAGGATATTCTATACATAATCCGGATAAGCCTGCCTTCTGGATGTTATTCTACAAACTAGACTTATATCGCTACCTTCATGGTAGTTCTGTGTTTACGAGTGATGAGTTACGAATCTGGTACACGTCCGTAGGTACTACCCACCCCCCCTAAAGCCCGTACGCACTTCTACTTGTATCATGATACCCCTTCTCTTTTAGGAAGAGCTCGCTTAAGCGAGCCTAAAGCGAGTAAGGGTGACCGGTCAAGCTGGTGTGGGCAACGAAGAGTCCCCAAACGAGTAAGCCAAGACATGTAGATCAACCTTGTCTCTTGGAGCTTGTTTTTGGAAAATGATTTTATATGCTTTCTTTTATTCTTGGCCGGCTGACAGGGTGGCTGGGCAGGACAGTGACAGCTGAGAGGACTCCCAGCTGAACACCCTTCAACGCAACTTGATGATATAGTTGCTGTATGTAGTCTTGTCATCATAGACCCACGTACACGAATTGGAATCTCCTGTTCGTGATGCCCACCAAGTAAAAGTTTAGGACACTCCCATCGAAGACTTTCTTCCACTCAGAAGAGAAGAGGTCGGGAAAAAAGCATGCCGAGTTCTCGAGTTCCTGGTCTCATCCAACACCCCGAATGAAGTGTAATCTGGATTAAAGGCGAGGTCGCATTGGGTACTCAACTGCACAGCATCTGGCATCATGGAGAATAACCAGTCAGGATCATCGATCATCAAGCAGGATCGATCTCACATGATGATTGTTCGATGGCGTTACCGGAAAAAGCAAAACCAAGAACCGGTGAATGCCTCATCGGTGGCCAGTCCCCATGATTCGAAGGAGGCCGCCGATCATACGACAGGAAAGATCGTGCGTGTGTGGTGTTGTGAAGTCACTTTTTCTCGAATCCGTACGTAGAGCGTCGTCAATGAGGGTTTGTGCATATCTGCGGGGGTCAGTGTAAGTTGGGGGTCGCCATGTCCGTAAAAGGCAATGGGGGCCGATGGGAAGAGTGGGGGTACGATTCGTTGTGGCGATCATTCCCCCACAACTGGGGCGTCTTTACCTCGGCCATATTCCCGTGGGAAAAACCAAGGTTTGTAGCCAAGACATACTTCATCACGAAACTTGAAGGTGTGTTTACCTCAGGCATAACATGTCATGTGCAAACGGAAATGTCGCGGCTCACGTACGAGATGGGTGTGCTGAGCAAAACGTAACGCTGCGGCAGTTCGAACTGTGATGGAGAAAGGCGGGGAACAAGGAGGGGAATGGGGGGAAAAGGAGCCCGCTGGACGACGTGAATCATGGGGAAAATGGAGTCTACCGCTTTTTCCCAGTCGTAAGAGATTTACTCCCCATAATATTTCCAGAGCCTAACCTTCTTGTAGTATGGTTAGCTCCCTTATGCAGGCCCACTGTAACTCGTGTGGATACAGTAAACGTGGTATGGCACGGGGCACACGGCTGGCATAGGTCACTTGCAGTCGGCTGGCGGGGCTGTCATGGTTGAATGCCGGTCCGGCTAAACTGTATGAAGGTTAGGGGGCTTAGCTAGCTAAATCTCTTACGACTGTGGTATTGCAGTGACGAGAAAGGGAATTAGTGGATAAAGGTTGCAGTAGAGAGGTAAAGAATAGACTAGTCAGGGGTTTATGCGCTGGGAAGCCCACGAGATGTGCACGTCAGGTACCTACACGAAATCCAAAAGTGAGGGGACATAGAGGTATTCATGATCCAAGGCACAGCCCCCCTCCAAACTCCAAGTTGGAATGTATTTTGAGAACGACACTCGTCAAAATCGGCATGGAAAACCCGAAGTATCAAATGGGCAAACTATCCCCACCCGCGGAAATGCCCCAACGAGCTGTTCAAAAGCAAGGCGAGCGGGATCAGGAAGAGTAACAGAACGACGAAGAAGTTACCATATTAGTCAATGATGGTGAGGAAGCTGGAGAGGGGTAAAAGCCGACGCTGGATTGATGGAACTTCAGCCCCTCTTCACGTTTCACACACTCACCTCAAGTTGCCGTCTTTTCTCCTGCCCAGCTTTCAATTACACACCTCTCTTTACTCCTCAACACGCCTACTATCCCTGCTGAGGCCGCCTCGTGTGCACGATGACAGAAAATTGTCCAAATCCTCGTTAGCTTCCGCCGGATGGTCTCAAGCGCGGGACGTCTCCGGGTACTGTCTCTATACTGTACGGTGTAAGTCGTTAGGGCTGTTGGACGTTATCCGGACTACACACCAAGGCCCCAAGCTATCATTTTCCCGACTCTTCTAGCCTTCGGAGTGGGTCGTTTTGTTGGCCAATTTTTGCGCGCCTCGTGATGTCTTTGTGCATAGTATCTGCAGAATCAGATACGGCGATGGTTGCTAGTTGAAGTAGATCGCAACGCTGGTGTATTTTTAATCGAGGGATTGGGGCCATGGCCAATAATTGGTCTTGAGTATGCAAAGAACCTGTTCGCCGTCTAATGTATTCTTGTTGCTTTGAGCGTGGTCCTGCGTGGGATCTCAAGGCTTGAATATCTTATCGTAAGTAAGTATAGCACACAGTGTTAAAGACCAACAGATGTACAGCGTGTACTGTATGCTGGAAACATATCTCGTTCCAAACATCATCTCACCCCCACGAAGCGGTTAACCGTAGTGGTAGAGCTACGAACAGTAAGCGACGAGCATGTTTGATCGCGGACAAAATTAGCGGCTCAGTCCCGCCATGACCTTCATCGACGTGCACACTATCCACTCACTCCCAAGTGCGGCGAGTCTGACGTGCAGCAACAACCGAGTTCTTGGCTCAGACTAGAAAGGGGTCATCGAATTGACCAACATGGGCAGAGGTACACGAATGTAGGGTCTCCTTGGTGAACTCGATTGGTCGACTTTCCCCGTCAGATGACCGAAATATGCAAGTCGGCTGTAAGGGTGTGAAGTAGTTGATGCAATACTCTTAGATGGTGAGATACTGTTTGAAATCTTACCTGGTAGAGTACTTGATTTCCGTCTTGCTGACTACTGCCATATTTATGGTGGCATACCGCATCTACTCATCCGTAACAGATCTCCTCTTTTGGGGAAAGTCACAGCTTATGCGGGCGATTTTAGCTCCCTCTTAGCTGCATATGCCGCATCTCTCCAATAGGATTCACCTATAAGCCCACAGAGCATATCTGTTATGGTTGAGTAGAAGCGATAGTATAGGTCTGATCGAGTGATGCTTTTGGCTGTCCACAACTCGGCTTGAAATAAAGCCTATGGCGAGTCCAGCAAGCCAAACCACAGCGGCTGTTGCCGACGCTAGAGGAAGTGTGGTAGAGTGCTGCCCAGCGAATGTCGGACCCGTTGGTACGGATGCAATTATGGTTGGTGTACCAGTTTGAGCCTCCTACATGGGGTCCCGTCGATACCACTTGATTGGATTGTGAATGACCCTTGGGTTTGTGCCTTGGCCGTTGGGGGCTTTCGCGGGGAGCATGCCCGCCACGTGGAGGTCTTTTGGCTGCTTGCGTTTTGGCCATGTCGAGAGGCCGGACGGCTACCGCGACGGTCCCGGATCCGTTCGCCTTGCTCTTGTCCGTACGCTACGGGAGAAGTTGTCGGTAAGAAGATCAACTGCAGTTACCCGGAAGTGGGCATTCTACCGGTTGGAGTCCGCGCAAAGACCCCTGATAGGCTTTTATGCTCGAGCACACCCGGGTATCTCTTTTCTTGGCTTGTCGGTTCACGCAACGTCCGATATCGAGCGTCAGGGGCAATGCTGAATTCAGGCTTCAACCCGTGGCTGCCTTGTCGTGCCCATGCCTCTCAGAAGGCAAGAACCGGTATTCGTCAGGGAAAACGCTATGTTGGAAGCTATTCACGAGGTGGCGGCTAGTTGTTAGGGCGTGCTACACAAGACTTGGGAGGACTGACCGTGGCTAATATTTAGCATAGTCTTAACAAGCTATTGGTTGAGCCAAGGGCAGTACGGGGGTAGCAAGTTGTGCGACATGACATCTTGACCTAGTGAAGTGCCTGGCAGAAATGAGGGAATGGTAAGGACCTGATGTGCGAACAGTCAGGGCACGGCAAGGAGACATTGCGTGGGAAGGTTGGATCGAAGGGTGGCGCTTGAGTGGTAGATGACAAAACTACATTTCGTCGATATCAGGTAGGAGTAGGTTGGGCATGGAGTCCAGGCTGCGACTCCAGAAGCGCAGTTGGTGAAAGAAATGTCGTCGCCGTAAAAGTAGGTGGAGAGGGGAAGGATGACTGGCGGTGGTGACGGCCGATGATGAGTACAGGAGACGATCAAAAGGTGACAAGGTGTCGATCAATTGCGTGGCAGAATCCAATTTGAAATAAATTGCCCTTGTTGACTTGTCCGTTGAATTGACATGCGCAAGCTCCAC